TTGTGGCATTATGGTCTGAAAAGATGGTTTGTATTATTTCTACGTTTTTGAATCTACTGATGCTTGCCTTGTGACCTAGAATTTGATCTATTCTAGAGAATCAGTGAGACTGGTTCAAGATAGGGCAGGGTTCAGAGCTATTACACATAGGGTTGCTATTCAATAATGCTGAAGAATATTGAATATTTTCATAGACCGCCAAAAGAAAGAAAAAAACAACTGTTTGTAAGAAGTGTACCTGCATTGTTCCTTAGTGGCAAAAAAAAATTATATATATATATATATATCACTGAGTGTGTTTTTAGGAGAAATCAATCCTTAGAGAAGGATATCTTTCTTGCTGGGAAAGTAGAGGGTCAGTGAAAGAGAGGAAGACCTTCATGAAAACACAGTGACTACCATGATGGGCTTGAGGATGATGGAGAACATGAGAGTGATGTGGGATAGAGCAAGGCTCAGATCTGTTGTTCATAGGGTCACTGTGAGCCATGGTCAACTTGATGCCACCAAACAACGATGATTAAACTCTTGCAATTGCTGTAAATCTTAATAAGAAGAGATTGTCCATATTTCTTTGATGGAGCACCTGTTGTTGTTATTGTGTGCTGTGAAGTTGACACTAACTCATAGCTTACCCTCTAGAGGGTTTTCAGAGACAGTTAATCACGTGAGAGGAGATTGCCATTTACCTCGGAACAACTGGTAGATTTGAACTGCATACCTTTGTGATGACAGCACAGCTTCTAACCACTAGGCCAGTAGAGTCTCCTATACAACACCTAGTGAATTCAAACTACTGACATTTCTGTTAGCAGCACAACACTCTAAGTGCTATTCCACTTAGTCTCCTCTAAATTACATTAGTTCTTCCTATAATCCAAGCCTGTAGACCTTGGGCTTTGATCCAAACTTGCTTAGAGGTAACAATTTTTTGGTGAAATAAAAACAAAATCCACTGTCTGGCATGAATTCTGACTCCTAGTGACGCTATACGATAATGTAGAATCACCCCATAAGGTTTTCAAGGTTGCAATGTGTTACAGAAGCAGACTGTCATCTCTTTCTCCCACAAAATAGTTGATGGATTTGAATGTTTGACCTTTTGGTTAACAAATAAGATTTGTAGTCACTGAGCCACCATGGCTCCTGTACCCTTGATTTTATCCTGTAAGCCTGATAAACTCAGCAAGTTGAAACTATGTCTAGGAATTAGGATTACAGACTGTCCCAGATCTCACATCTCCAGCCAAATTAAAATTCGCACCATTGGCAAACACTACACTTTCCTGCTTCCACATGTTTGTTTTTGCTGCAACATCTACTTAGAGACTCTTCTTCCACAGTCCACTTCCCACCCTAATACAGCACCAAAGAGCTGGATTAAATACATGCTATTTATACCAGGAGCCTGCCTTTGGTTCCCTCAAGTGAATGTATTCTACTTTTTTGAACTCCCCTTCCAAGGCTTAGAATGCTATTCCTTGATCTGAACTGTGCAAATGAGTCTCTCCCTTCTCCCTGTGACCTTTTGCACTTTCATTCTGTTTCAAGTTTGCCTGTAAACAAACAAACAAAAAAAGTGAAAAGGAATCAAACCAATTTATGTTGAGTCTTGTTCATAGCAACCCAAAATGTGTCAAAGTAGAACTGACCATTAAGGGGATTTCAAGGCTGTCACTTTTGGTGGTACATTTCCAAACTTTGCTTTTCAGAAGCATCTGGGTCAGTTTATCAACTTTTTCAATCACTAAACTTTTTTTTAGTGGTGAAGCACTTAACCGTTTGTCCCTCTCAAAGCCTCCATTGTAAACTGTAAACAAGGTCAGAGGTAAATAAAAATAACCAACTAACCAGGTTAAAATTACACTTGTTCATCCACATGGTTCAATCGAACATATGCATTGCTCGGTCATGAAGCTGGAACAACTGACTCTTCTAGTCATATCTGAAAACACAGAGCCAAGGTTACAGTAAATACTCAATATAAAGTTTATTACACTGAGGTTTTCAACACTAGCATCATGAGATGTCATTGGTTAATGACAATGTTGTTGTTGAGTGCTGTTGAGTTGAACATGACTCATAGTGACACTTTGAACAGAAGATCTGAATACTATTCTATCCTGTGCCATCCTCACACTTTCTGATACACAGGAGCCCATTGCAGCAGTCATTATATCAATCCACATGGTTGAGGGTCATCTTCTCCTTTGCTGACCCTTCCCCCTTCTCAACATCATGTTCTTTTCCAAGGAATTGCCCCTCCTAGCAACATGTCCAAAGTATGTGAGGCGAAGCCTCATCATTCTTGCCTCCAAAGAGCACACTGGCTGCATCATCTCCAAGACATATCTGTTCGTTCTCTTGCCTTTCCATGGACGTTCAGTGCTCTTCTCCAACATCACAGCTCAAAGGCATCAATTCTTTCTCTGTTGAAAACTAAGACATTTCCAAAATATGTTCCTGGATGCGTTAGGGGAAACAAAAGAAGGAATAGGAACATCCATATGAGTTGGTCTCTATGTCTGACTGGAGACACCAAGGACTCTCCGAAGCTGTGGTTTAGAGTAGAGAAGCTTCATTACTGCTGACCTGAAGAGGCACGTGGAAGAGAGGAGCAAAGGGTGACTTAACTTAGTTATCTCAAGTGCTAGATGAAGAAGTATCTCTATCTTCTCTAAGCAAGAGAGGACCTAGGCTTCCAAGGAGAGTTAAGGTGGAAGATGGTGCCTGTGCCCTCTGCTCTGGGCCCCAGTCATCTTAGCATTCCTTCTCTCTGCAGTAGTAGACAGTGCCACCACGGAGGCAGCTGGGCTTCCAGAGAGTCCTCCTAGGGCCGGCTAGGCTCTGAGTTTGGGGTCTTTGGGTGTTAAGACAACAACCTCCTGAATTGGGGCTGCAGCAGGAGGCTTGACCAGGGCCTGAGCACTGGGGAGTGGTGCATTTGGGAGCATCTGGTGGTTCACAAGATCTCTGCTTCTGCTGTGACATTGCTGGACTGAAGGTTGAAGCTGGAAGGAAAAAGAGTAAGCAGTCAGACCAGGGACTCTGGAGGCTTGACTGGTTCTCTTCTCTGTGAGCTGGAGCTTCCTCAAATGGACACTCACATTTATGACCTGCTGAAATCCATAAAAACAACGTGGATCTGAAAGAGCTTAGTCATGTGGGGAATAAATCCTGATAAGAAATCCCAGGAGAGTAAACAACCTTACCCTAAAGAAATCAGAATTGCCACCTAACCAGATATATGCACACTCATGTTTATTGCTGTGTTGTTCACAATAACAAAGAGATAGAAACAATCCAAGTGTCCATCAACAAACAAATGGTATATTCAAACAAATGGTATATTCAACAAACTGTGGTATATTCACACAATGCAATACTATGCAGCAGTGAAAAACAAGGAACTCATAAATATGATACAAAATGGGTGACCCTGGAGGACACTTTGAAGAGTGAAATATCTCAATCACAAAAGGACAAATACTGAATAATGCCACTGTTATAAAACAGAACTGACAAGAGGGGAAGAATAAGAAAAGAAGGGATAAATAATGCGCACACCTTTGAAACAGATAAGGGAAAGAATTGCTTAAAAGGAATATATGATCAGATATTATTTGCATGACCGAAGTCCAGAGTAAGAACTGCATAGTAAAGTGGACTGGGGTGGGGAAATTGTATAACAATGAAAGAATTTTCTTTTCAAAGAGAAAAGCAAACTGGGGGGCGGGGTAGACAGGGAGGAAATTGTGCGACAATGAATAAATGGAAATCCAAATTCTCTATAAACTTTCATTAAAATCTCAATAAAAAAATAAAGAAAAATAAGAAGGAGGGTGGAAAGTAACACTTTACTGTCCCTTGTAAAGACCCTGGGTAGGGAAAATGATTAAGCAAAATGTTGGGGAAGAGAGCGAGAGAGAGAAACACCTTGAGAGAAAAGCTAGATGATCTGCCTTTTTTTTTAAAAAAAAAAGTTTCTTTTTAATTCAGATTTCCCCCACACTATCTTTCATTACATTTCATACAATCATTTCCACATATTGTGTTTTATAAAATTAATAACCATTGCACTGTGCCCACCATTACCTGATCTTTTCAAGTCACCAGGTCTTCCTATTTCCTTTACCCTTTTGCTTTTCCCACAAAATTGTGCTACCCTTACTCATCCTCACCCCACTGTTCCCACCCCTTCCTCCTTTGGATCCCCATGCACATTTTGCTACTTTTCTATTTTTACAATAATGGTCTTATGTAATATTTGTCCTTATGAGACTGACTTAGTTCACTCAGCATAATGCTCACCAGTCTCTCCCAGGTCACAGAATCATATTTTTTTTTTAAAATTGTTGCTCCTGAGTGCTGCATCATATTCCATTGTTGAATGTACCACAATGTCTCAATCCATTCAGTTGTGGTTGGACATCTGGGCTGTTTCCATGTTCTTGCAAAGGTGAATAACACTGCTATAAACTTTGGTGTACAAATCACCATTTGTGTCTCAGTTCTAATTTCCTTAAAGTATATTCCAAGTAGTGGAATAGCTGGATCATGGAGTTTCTATGTTCAGCTTTTTAAGAAAATCCCTAACTGTTTTCCACAGTGATTGTACAATTTTACAATCCCACCAAAAGTGTATGAGAGTTTCCGTCTCTCCAACATTTATTACTTGCTGTCCTGTTAAACTTTGCAAATGTTAATGAGGTCAGATGATATATCCTTGTGGTTTTGATGTGCATCTCTCTTATTTCTCAGTGATTTTGAGCATTATTTCTTCATGTGTCTGTTGGCTTTCTCTGTGAAAAGTCTTCCCATATCTTTTGCCTATTTTGAAATTGGGTTCTTAGTCTTTTTTCATAGAAGCTGTAATATTCTGTAAACTTTTGTTATGAGACTGTTGTCCAAGATAGTATTGCTAAGTTGGTTTGGGTTGAGTTTTTCGTTGGTTTTTTTTTCAGTCTATAGGTTTTCTTTTCACCCTATTAGAAAAAGTTTTCGATGCACACAGGGATATAATCTCTACAATGTCCCATTCATCAGTCTGCTTTTTAAGGATCAAAGACACTAAAAACTCTATAGAGGAATTACACTTTGCAACCATGAATTGCTTACCATATGTTTGAATCATTTTGAACTGAAACTGGTAGAATTTCTCTTCAAAAAGGATAACAAACTGCAACCTGACTGAGCTGATGGCTCACTTTTCCTGGGCCAGTGTCTGCCAAGGTCAAGTGTAAGGACAGCAGAGCTCCAGATCTGAAGACAAGGAGAGGCCACTCTCTGCTCTACCATCAATCTTAGTCTTACCTGAGGCTCCTGTGTTCTGAACCTCTGTATTCTGCGTCTCTAGCCTTAGTTCTTTGTGTAAAACCCCCTGAGTTCTTCTTTTCCTACCCTCCCCTTCTCCCTACCCTGAACATCTTCTATCTAGCTTCTCATCTTCCCAGGAAGAGAGAAGAAAAAGTTCAATTTGCCTTGGCAGCTCTGGAGTGAGAAGCATCCCAACATCTCCCTCTCCAGAAGTAGTCTTACCTACGAGAAGCCGTTCAGACAAGTCATCCCAGGAGGAATCCTGATGCCTTATGATGTTAGAAAGGGTGAGGCCTTTTTATATACTCCTACCACTGAAGCCTCCGGGCTGTGTTACTGAAAAGCAGTCGCAGAGTAGATAATATATCTGGATGTCGAAACAATTATGAACAATTCCAGGTCTAGATTCCACAGCTTGAATGGGAGTCAAAGGCATTTTCATGTGACTAACTGACCAGAGTGGTATCCACTTCCTAAGTAACATGCTTCCAGAAACTCTATGCACTTTGATAAATGTTGATAGTTGTACAGGGGCTTCAGGCCTTTTGTTCATAGGGTCACTATGAGTCTTGCTTGACTCAAAGGCAATCAACAACAACAAGTGACCAGAAAGTAAGGCCCTTCATATTTTCCTGATTTGTGATTGACCCAGTGACTTCAAGGATGGGTTTAAGTACAGAAGAGATTGTGAGTATGGCATGATTAGGTAAAAGTTTCATTCAGTTGGACATTGGATCACTGTGGGTTGGAGCTGGCAAGATGTTACCTAACAACAGCAACACACTGACCTATGCAACCACCCTAGGGACTGGATAGGGTTCAAAGTACTATTGAGTTCCATCTGGGGCTGGAAAGAGTGAGGGAGCATCAGAGACAATATAACCCAGGAAGGAGACCCTTTCTGTACAGCTCCTACTTATTCTTTGTTTTTGATCCCCAGAAAGACTTTCCTATTCCCCCAGGCATATCTGACTCCTCCCTCTTATGAATTTTAAATTATTAGAGGATTTATAGTTGCTCTAGGTCTTGATGACCTAGATACCTTATCATCTCAGTTAAAGTGTTCCTTGATGACAGGCTCAGTTAACTTTATCATTTCTGCATTCCTGGAGCCTGATATTGTGTCTGACACAAAAAGATGCTCAGCAATCTTTATTGAATGAGTAAGTGACTGACTATTTAGAATAAACTTGATGCTTTGGGAGATCAAGCATTATAAGAGAAATACAACCCAACCAATTTGCTTATTATGGATCAAATGTTGGCTTCTTCTTATTGTTATTTTAATTGAGATTTTATCAAATTTTATAGAAAACTTGCATTTCCATTCATTCATTGTTGCACATTTTCCTCCCTACTTCTGTCCCAGTTAGCTTTTCTCTTTAAAAAAAATAATGTTTTATTGTTGCACAATTTCCTCTCTCTCCACCCCCGCCCCTTAGTTCACTTTGCTATGCACCTCTTACTCTGGACTGTTGTAATGCAAATAATACCTAATCAAAAACTTTGTAAACACTCTCTTTTATGAATGCAGCTGAGCAATTTGTGGGTAGATTTCACCTTGCCAACATGTAAGGGTGGAGAACAAGATGTTTGTAAAACCTGCTATCTCTTAGGTGTAGAAATTGTTATTGTGGGCCATTGAATCAGAACTAACCCATAGCTGACCCTCAAGCAGTTTTTCAGAGGCAGCTAATCACATAGAAGGAAATTGCTCGTTTTCTCCTGCAGAGCAGCTGACGAATTTGAACCTCTGGTTTGGCAACATAATTTCTTACCAATAACCCACCAGGGGAGATATTTATAACTAATTGTCAAGGGAGCCCTCTGGAGGACACTTAAACAGTAGGAAAATGTTATATGCTTGTTTGTGGTTTATCTATTTTTATTTAAGCCTCTTCTTTAGAGTTTAAAAGACCTCACAGAGGGCCCTTGTATTTAAAGCCAGGCCCTTTTCTTTCTCCCTTTTGGAGACTGGGTGATGCAGCTGGACTCTGTTAGGCATTTTAGTTTTGGTTGGGGGTCATGTGGAGTGTCTGGTTGTTGTTTATTTAAGCCTCTTATTTAGAGTCTACAAGACAGCATGGAGGGCCCTTGTATTTAAAAGTCAGCTGGGCCCTTGGGCCTAATGTTATTACATTTTGGAAGAACATTCTTCTAAGTTGTACAGCACTCTTCTGAAAATTTGCTGTACTGAGGAAATATGAGTTTGCTGTGTTGATGAACCCCTTGGGGGGAAGGTGTCAAATGGCATAATGGCTGCCCATGGTGGACAGTGTTTGGTGGAGCTCCCAGTTTAAGACAGGTTTGGAAGCAGGAATGACATCCACTTTCTAAACCACATGCCTCTGGAAACTCTTTGAACTTGGAGAAACAACAATAGTTATAGAAAGACTTCAGGTCTTGTGTTCCTAAGGTTGTTATGAGTCGTGCTCAGTTTGATGAAAATCAGCAACAACAATAAGAACAAGGTAAAAAAACTAGGAAACTCTGGTGCCCTAAGGTAAGAAGCTGTACTGCAATCCCAGGGGCACACAGTTTTAATGCACCAGCTTCTTCACTGGAGAAAGACGAGCAATCTCCTTTCATGTGGTTTATTACCTCTAAAAACTTACTGGAGGGTCAACTATGGGTCATTTCCAGTCAACATCACACAACAACAACAATTGTAAAAT